ACCCTTTGATTCAACCGGATTTGGCGGCTGGAAGGCGACCTTTAGAACCCGCGACATAATCTGCGTCTCTCTCGCGCCCGTGCTCTCCACTCCCTACCCTTCGAAGCTCCGCCTTCCAGCCGCCAATCCTGTTGAATAAAAGGGTACAAAATTGCCGCAACATTCCTGGAATTTTATTTTTTGTGCTTATTATACGAATGCTTTTGTGGGGACAGCTTCGCGCGAACTACTCTATAATTATAACACAATACGAGTTTTAATGCAATGCCTTGAACTTTTAGCTGAAAAGTTTCATCATCAAAAGCATCGTTTGGAAATTGACTCAAACTAGAGCATAAGCACTTCTTATCTGTGACTGCACATGTTTTCTGCAAATGCATAAAAAACTTGCTATGCATGCATAAGTTATAGCCTTGTACCAGTGGCGTACCCAGGATTTCGGCCCGGAGGGAGCGAACTCCCGAAAAAAATTTTTATAAAGCTAGATTGAATTTTAAAGAATTTTAAAATTTATTTTAATTACTTATAAGAATAAATAAGTCTTCTGCACATTTTTATAACTCATGTAAGCAACTTTCAAAAATTTCGTGACCCATTCTCGCCTCCCCCTCGGTACGCCACTGCCTTGTACTTCACTTTGAGACAAATTCAACAGTTTGGATTCATCACTGCCTTCCTTTCTGTCGCTTTTAATTTTTTTTCGTTCGATGAAAGTGTTCTCGTAGGGACCCGTGCTCATGCAACAGGGACAAGCTATTGTGTTTTCTTATTTAGCCAAAACCTCAACCTTGTCGCTGTTAGTACAATAAAGAAATAGAAATTACTGCTTGAAAAATCCTCTGCTCACTTGTCTGCATGTCCTCGCTTAGTCCACCTGCTTGAATAGAATGTTCGAAATTGCAGTCCAAGTTCTGTCGGTAACAGAGAAGCTGTAAGTATGACTCTTTGAGCGCACGTGTTCAATCCAGAAAGGAACACCGCAAGAATGATATGACCATGTCGTGAAGAAAAAAGTATTCCGAGCGGAATAATATCGATGCCACACCAATTATTCCCGATTTCAGAAAAGTGCAGAAGTGTTCGGGAGCAGATTGAGCGTCTCATGCAACGATTTTGATAGTACGGTAATGTACAACGCGCAAGGAAGAGGTGCTGCCATGTGTTTTTTCTTCAAAGTTAAATAAAGGTGGAGCACTTGTGATTCATGTCTGTATAAATCAACTGCATAATAGCGATCGACTTAATGTGATCAAGGGCTCTTTTTACCAATGAAAGAGCGTAGATATACGTAAGACACTGGAATATTGAACATTTAGCTCACTGACAATGTGTGCATTTTGAGTACATGCCTTTGAAGGTTTCTTTGGTATGACTTAAACTCTACTGACAAATATCCTTCCCACTTTTAATATCTTTAATCTTATCACTCAAATTTGCTGCATAGTATCACCTAATGAACTAAAAGTTTGTCTGCCTTTGTGCATCTGTCACTTGCATGTTTCGAGTTTATTCTCTTTATGAAGGAATTCAGGCTAAACTTTGCTTGCACATACTTCTTGTCGAGGTGTCAAATGCTACTTTACATTAGCAATCGATATCAAGCTGTTGATTCTCCGCAAAATTCAAACAATTCTAAAATGTATGACTTGGCACAGAGACAAGGTAGGCATCTGATCACTGATCAGAATAATGCTCGTTTGATAGCAATCATCAGTAAAAGAGTAATCTGCAGACCAAAAATTAAGGGCTTCTGTGATTAATGTATCAACTGCTGAAAAACTTGCTGATTCGGCTTTTGCTGTTTGGCAAACTTTGTCAAAGGAGTAGAAACTGATTTTATGAAAGTGCAAAAATGGTGAATTTTGTTAAAGTATAGCAGACAGGAATCGAGCGGAGCCGGATAGGTCAACCGGGACTCGGCAGAAAATGGCATTTGAAAAATTTGGAAACGAAGCCCTCTCAGTCCCGTAAAAATTAATAGGTTGGCACATAAGTTTTGCAACCTTGTCCATAACTTCTTTCTCTATGAATGAGGCACATTCAAATTTTGGCATTATGTAGACTCGGAAGTGCGCTATAAATCTGCGCAAACCGTTTGATTTTTTATGGCAAAATGGAAAAGATCTGCGTATTCTCCTAAAAACAGTCAAAATTGGGTTTTATGGTTTTTTTAGCAAAGATGAAGACCTTCGAAAGTAAGTTAACCAAATTCAACCGGAACTGTGGGCAAATTATTCTCAGAGGGTGGCTACTGAACCCAGCGAAAAAAGAATTGTAATTCATTGTTAAATGGAAATCTGGCGATTTCATAAACTCAAACAAGTCAAATGCGTCAAAGTAGCTTGGATAATTTATCAATGCCAGAGAGTCAGAATAGTCGAATATTGGCGAAGCTTTGCACGATGGGATAACTTGACATGCTGAATACGAATATCATATTCAATTGTTGTCAGAGTCAAAAATTAGCCTAGTGATTTTTTGTAATTCAACTTTTTGTGGCAAAATAATTTTTTCAAGCAAAATGATTATCATTTTCGTAATCAGGATGTCGAATAACCCCCTTAGACCAAGTTTCACCTCAATCCGTGTCAATTCCTTTTCCTTTCCCATTCAAAAATTGCCTTATCGTAACTCTCGAACCTGATGTTGGAATACGGCAGGAATGGTTGCTTTCGCTGTTAACACGATACTCATTATAATACTAGAAAATGGAAGCGCCACATCGCAAAACACACGAGTTATAAGAAAAAGTTGCAAAACTTATGTGCCAACCTAATATATTTGAAATGCTATGAAGGTACTGCCTCAGACACTCTCCAATGAAGGATAATTGGATGTGATTAAAAGATGAGAAGCAAGAAAAATTCCGGTTTTCTTATCAACAGGGACCGCAGCAAAATGGGAAAGGACTTTGACTTTTTTCGGTGTCGCTTAAGGTGTTTTATATTTGCCATCTCAGGAGGTACAGAAGTAGCATGCCAGCTGAACAACGCGTACGCATCTTTATTTTCATGATTTCATAACTTTTTATGCGTTGGCCTTTTTTTGATGTTAAGTGTTTTCAAAGAAAAGTCAATTCATCGAGGCGCAAATGATTTCACCCCACTTACGAGATCTTGTTAGCGCATGTAAATTATGCTCCTACCTCGTGCGCGGAGCTTTGAACTTTCTTATCCACTACCACATCCAAGTACTGGAACCTCCCCTCTAATTACTTTCTTTAAAGGAGAACTCAAACGTGCGACTCTTCGAAGCCGAATGCGGACGCCCTTTCTTGCGTGCCACCCGCTTTTTTGAATGAATTTCCTCACCTTTCCTTGACGCGTTTTGTGGCTAGCACAACCGCTTACTGTTTGATAATGTCCCTGCTCGCATTAGGCTAACGCCGGACTAATCGAACATGTTTCTTAAACAAAATCCTTAAAAGGCCTTCATCAAATGCCGTATTCGGAAACAGCGCCGTAAAAAGTCTTAGATATGGCAAAAGATGGAGGTCAAGGTTTTGCTCAGACGCTTCCTTCAACTTATAAGTAAGTAGCTCTTGTAGAATAGAGTAACATTGAGTCATTAGAGTAATCAAATTGAAGATGAAGTTCGAGTTACGCTTTAAGCTCGTTTGAATCAAAATCGAAAACTCAGATTTTGCGTGTAGTACTTGAACTTGAGCGTCTAGAGAACCATTTTTTGTTCCTGCTTCTGTTTTTGTTTCACTCAAACAAATATAGGATAAAAGGATAAATCGACGTCTTCAGTACCCTCTGCGGGCATGCGCCGAAAGCACACTACCATAGTCGAAGAGGCCATTGTATGCGTGCGAGCCTATTACAGTGACTCGCGGGGCAACCGTTTACCAAGTCGGTGCTTTTATCCTCCCAGATTACTCTTGTACCAATTTATCGACCCCGTAGGGTAGAGGGCTTGGTCGGCCCAGGAGCGGAGATCGAACCTGTGTCCGATCTGTGGCCGTATTCATCAACGAAACCCGTGGGTTCCGGAACCCATTGGGTTAGTGTTTTTGATGAATATCGATTCTACTCCAGGGAAGAATCGATATTCATCAAAAGCACTAACCCAGTGGGTTCCAGAGCCCATGGGTTTCGTTGATGAATACGGCCACTGGTCGCCGCATACTACCGCCACTCGTCCACACCAAAACAAAAATAGAAGCAAAAAAGCTGGTATGCATTCATCGGAAAATTTGACACCTTAATTGAGCAATTGTTTGACACTGAGGATGTGTATATTAAAGTTATCTTGGAAGCCAAGGAATGCTTCAATGACTAGCAAACGGGTCTATAATTTTACTATCTTTCATTCAAGGTTTTTTTTTGTTTCTTTCACAACTTCTTACCACTGACAGCAGTCAAAGCTGAGCTTAACACCAATTCAAATCACTGAAACAAAGTGAGCTATGGTTATTCAAAGTGATTTAGAATTGTCATAGCACTGTAATGATTCGTCTCAGATATTTTTAAAATTTTTGCGAAGTTAGTTTGCCGCTTCATGATGCTCATTCAAATTTGCACCGAAATGAATACTTTCCTCTTACATACATATAACTCCAGCTTCAAATATCAATGAGGGCTCTTACTTTCTAGCACTTTTTGTAGGTCCCTCAAAATACACTTCTCAGATAAGGTTTTATACGTCAATTTTACCGTCTTGTGAACTTGAGAATGATTGCTTTGCTTCGCCTCTACCAAATCTCAGAACAAAAATACTGTGTTCAACTACTAACAAATTTGAAATCGAACAGAGTTGACTTTCAGCCATATAGGTAGTTACTTCAATATGTAACTTTATTAGTTCTTGGAATGTGGTCAAAATCTATGTACATTCGCATATAAGCAATAATAATCAATACATGATCGATCAATAATTGCGACATATCCTAAATATCACTATAAGTAGCTATCCATCAAATAGTCCAGTGTGAGTATCAATATCTGATCCTTATCGACCTCCGGCCAACGCTCCGACCATCGAACCAACAACGGCACCTTTGATCGCTCCTCGCACGGGGTCTAGAAAAAATACATCTTGCAGAAAAAATAAGATTAAATAAAGGTGAAATTTTTGAGAACTTACTGTATGGCCGCATCATTCCCATCGGACCCATCATTGGTGGTCTCATATGATGACCCATCGGACCCATGGGTCCCATAGGTCTCGGCCCATATGGTCCCATGGGTCTGGGGCCCATAGGTCCGTACATGCCGGGTCCATATCCAGGACCAAATTGTGGCCTTGCATCGAACTGCAGCAAAGCAAGGAGGATGAGGACGAGAAGTCGCAGAAACATTGTTAGTATTTTAACTGAAAATAAAGTCTGCAGTTAACATATTCAATCGGAAAATAGACCACGAAAAAAATTTTTTTTCCTATAAAAAAATTCTGAAGAGAATTGGCCTTCCTTTAGAAGATGATTTCTAAAAGAAAGGAGTAGATGGCACCTTTGCCCATCAAGACAAGTGACCGAATGACCTGACCCTCCCTGGATCTGATCGTATCTATTTGTGCCATTCCAACACAGATCAAGGATCACTGATCACATTGCACAAAGCTTTGAGTGGAAGTCATGTGGATAAAAATTCCCTAAAAAAGTGGAGAGAATAATCCAAGGATATTGGTTTCTATAAAAATAAACAGAGTCAAGCATTCTAAAGCGATAAAGTTATTATATGTGTAATATCTAAGTCTCATTAAGTACAAATATTAATTTTGGAGCATCCTTAGCTTGACCTGTATTCAAATAAGCCTAAAAAAATAGCTTTGACCGTATATAATAAATTGACAAAAATTTTCTGTGGTTGAAATTTGATCTCTTCCGTACGACCGTTAAGCCAGAAACAGCCTGATCTACCTTATTGCAGTGCCGTAAAACACTGACGATCGTCTGCCTTTAGAATGGCTTAGTCAAAGGTTTCAAAATTGCAGGATCGATATCTTCGCAAAATCATGTGAATGTTCAAATCTAAATGTGCAACATACTGAATAATTCTTAATGTATGACATTATCAAGTTTGCCTAAACCTAACGCATTGAAAGGAGCCAAGTGATCTCTTTGAATAGTTTATTATCCTCTCATAGAATCAAAAAGAGAACAAAACACACGAGTGGAGTACAGAGACCAAGAAAAAAAAAGCTATTATACTTCGCATATAGATACACTCGTTAAATGTGGCATACGTATTGATAGTCTTTCGAACGATTATTTGCGCTCTAGTTATGGGAAAGGAGCTAGATTCCTTCGTCAGCATTGGAAAAATTCGAACACCATTTTCGAGCAAGCCATTTCCGATGATATAAGGCTGTTTTCATTGTTGCTGTTCTCCTTTTTCATTGATTATGTAAGCGTTTCACTCATTTAACACATTCACGACAGTACGACCCATCGGTGGGTCGTACCTGTTCCGCCCTTTCGCACAGTACGACCCACCGGTGGGTCGTACGACTTCTTAAGCTCCTGATTTTACCAGTTTATGATGGACCTTTTGAACAATTTGAATAACCTCTGTATATATCTCCTGGGATACTTTCCAAATCAACACTTCAAACCGTAGTCGCCAGCAAATATTACGCAAATTCAATACTGCGAAATATGCTCTGGTCCGAAATGGCATTCATCGAAAAATCGGCAATGTCGGAATGTACAAGACTGCTGAAGGTTAGCTATAGAATAGTCGAGTAATTTTTTTTCCAATTTCATTAATATCAGAAAATCACTCAGTGGGAGGAAAATTTTTCTGGATCTTTGGACATGTGGATTGCGGCTTGTACATATGAGGTTCTCCCATCCCATTTCGGTTTTGTACACATTTTTGAGGTCTAATTTCCGTAAAATTACTGGAATCTACATTCCATTATGTCACCATTTTCAACTATTCTGTTATGTCTTACATCAAATGTCGACAGATATAGTTCATATTCGTTCCTTTTTGCTCACCTGTTAGTCATTTCAAGAGAATCTAATCAGTTCTCAAAAAACCTCCACTTTTATCGCATTTCTCCCCAATGTTTGCCTATTACTCAGCATGTTTGCCAAGCCTAGCGGCCGTTGCATTCATAGTCAAGCTTAATCGAAAGCAGACATTTCTTATGTGCTTCCGACATTTCTGTTATGTTGACATTTTCTTATCACTGTCAGCCGATCCTACGGCAATGAATTCTGTTGTGAATTTTCAAACACATAATGTGTCAAATTGCCCGTTTTGCGCTTATCTTCTCTAAATGATAACGAAAGTACGAGTGATGTATCATTGGAGCTTGGAAGTATTTCTGTCTTGAAAGGCAGCGTCAACCATAATTTCGGCTTCCATGTTCTAGTCTTTCTGGGGCCTTTCGATGGCTCTGATTACAGTCATGAAGTGCATGTGGAAAACCTCCAAAAACCGATTTTTGCGAACCCGTCTCCTGAAGGCTCGGGCGATATCAGCACTTGCATGGGGGGAGCTTGACATGATGGGGGTTTTTGATAGCGCTTTTGTGAGTTCTAGGACAATTATTTCCATCCAGAAACAACATTGGGCGACCGGACCAACGCAGGTGCCCTTTTCTGGGGTCTACTTTCGGCCTAGGTACTGATCGGAATGTTAGATTTTGCCTGGATGCTGCCTTCAAAATGGTGCTGCTAGTGATTGTAGCAGCAAATGCGATTTCTTCTTTGTACATCCTTTAATTAGAGCCAAAAATGATTTTTGTTGCAAAAATGGGAAAATTTAGGGGGATGAGACAGCTTTAGTATCCAGTCCTCTATCGATTCGAAAGAATGGTGTTTTAGATTTACCCTATTTTCACACGTATAAGGCGCGGGGGATTTTTTTCCAAAATCGACCAGCCCAGACACGCCAAAGGACTTTACAACCAAAGGACCCTATAACGCTGTATATTGCTTGAGAGAATGTGCGGTTTAAAGATCTCTTTCCGGAATACAGTGAAGCGGGTGAGCGGCTCGTTTGAAAAAATTAAAAAAGTGCGCCTTGTACGCGTGAAATTAGGGTATTTTTTTTCAAGGCGAAGGAGTAAATGGCATACAAAACATTCCATATAAAACTCATTTGCATAAAATGCGTTGTCCATAATGTTCTTATATTCAATACGCCTTTCATAGTGTGGTCACTGTCATGGCGACAGAGTCATTTTCCTTTCAACTCAATCGACAAAATATTAGAATTTCTTACACAATAGCTACAACCAATTTTTTATTGTAGGGCACTTCTATACTTATTTGTTTTTTTTACTGTCATGAATGCCAAATTTTGCTATGATAAAACCTCAATGTAGATCCTGCAACGTTATGACTCACGCATTTCTCAGTTATGTGCCCTCACCTGAAAATGCATATGAAAGTTTTTTTAAAACCGGTCTTACTTATCTAATTCCGGTTTTTGTTATGTGCCGGTGAGAGATCACATAAATTTTTATTGAGGGTGCATGGAGGGGGCGGGGGCGGGCAAACATTTGTCATATTTACTTGTCAAGTCTTTGTCGGCTGCTAAGCCTGAAAACCATCATTTTGCCTTGTTTCAAATTTATTTCTTGATGAGCTAAGGACCAGTTATACAGCCTTGACATTCGCTAAACTACTATAAAATAACAATGCTTTTCATACAAAGGACAAGATTTAAAAATAGAATAGTTGCTGCTATTGCTCTATTCTTTCATGCAGCTATCTGCTTTCTCAAAGGCGATGACCCATGGAAGCTCGAGTGCGGGATTTTCGCATTTTCTAGGGTTTTCCGACCCTTAAACTCAGTATGCAAACTTCTATTCTCTTCTTCTTCCAAACTTCTTTTGAACTATTTTGAGTATTTAACTGCTTCTTCGGCGTGACATCGCAGAATAAACTAATTCCAACGCGCTCCAGCCAACAATCTTGACGATTCCGCTACGAAGCGTGCGCTCATAGGAAATCTTCGAGTGGGTGGGAGGAGCGATGGAGGAGGAACGGGCAATGGGACTTCAGACTTCAGTGCTAGGATTGGAGGAGGTTAGAGACTGTTACGGGGTGGGGGGGGGGCACCTAGCTCATAGGCTTATTTGGGAATCCTTTACTTCGGCGCTCAAAGATCTCACGAGGGAGGTCCGATTAGTCGAAGTGGCTTTTCCAGATGAGTCATATACCACATTGAAGAGCATCAAACGCTAATTCCAGATCTGTGATCGTTGTCTGCCGAACGTCTCTGCATGCCAAGTTATGGATATTTCCTTGGTGTCAAAAATGAACGCATAAATTTTAGGTCTTATCAGTGCTCAGACAGAGCAGTGGTAAGTATGAGTGTTTTGGACAAAAGGTATTGTTCAGATGGAGTGCTCCGACAATCAGGATTGAACTGTGTGGGAAATTCTGACGAATTTTATGCTAATTATGCACTCAATTTTTCAAGTCAAGAAATGCTCATAACTCGACGTCCAGAGGCGCTCGGCAGATAATGAAGACAGATTTGGAATCAGAGTTTGATGCCCTTTATAGTCTTATCAATTTCATGTAAAAAGGCCACTTCGACCAAAAGGACCTCCCTCGTCAGAAGTCCGATTTCCGCGGCCCACTGCCGTCAAGCACCTTTGCTGTTGGCTTTGGAAATTCTAAATGTCATCTCATCTAACATTTTGTTGTATTCTTGTATTCTTCCAAAATTACTGTCAGATTCCTGTAGAGGCTTACGGGAATCTACTCTGGGTGGGTGAATTTGCTGCAGACAGAGAAATAAATATGAGCTACTGCCGGTAAAGATAAGATACTAATTTTTTCTGGAATTACTTTGTCTATCAGTATCTATTATTAAGCAGTATCAGTTTTAAGCGAATTTGTTTATTTATTTTTACTACTAATAACACTGCTTACGTCCTTTTACAGCTAGAAAAACTTGTATCAGTTTCTATTAGCTTCCTGCTGGCAATAATGTACAAAATCAATTTCAGTACATGCTTTATGAGAGCTTCTGTATTTGAAAATTTTCGTAAACTTCAATGCGATTGTGATGAACTTCAGCTCCATTGCAGGATTCTTGTATTCTTTGTTCTTCTTCCAAAGATGCAGCAAGTACAGTCATACAAATTGTACTAAAATGTTTCATGCATTTTTGTTACCTATTCATCAAGGCACTGCCGAGACTGGAAACTTCGCCGAACGTCTTTGAAGAATGCCTTTATGAGTCAAATTCTGCTTCTGAAAGGCCATGATGACTTCCGTATTTCCCTTCTTGTCAGAATAAAGTAGTGAAGGGCATACAAGCAAAATCCATCAAGAAGTTTTTAGCATGAATTCTGTTGCTCGCAAATGCTTTTGAATTTTGCTTTTTATAGTCATAACTACTCT